TCTTTTGAAAAAACTGGGACAAAGGAGAGAAGCGGAAAAATGGTGGTGGGAGGGGTAAGTATGGGCAGGTGATAGTGAAGGAAAAAATAGAAGGGGAAGGTAAAGGAGAGAAGAAGGAGAAAAGAGAGAGAGGGGAAGAGGAGAGAGGAAGGTGGGAATGGAAGGGAGTTGTAAGGAGGCAGAGACAGGAATTGAAAGGGAGGGAAGGGAGGGAATGAGTAATAATGACGAAAGTAATGATCATGATTATTGATGATAATGATGAGAGTAATGATAACAACAGTGATGATACTGATAATGATGATAATACTGATGATAATGATGTTGATAATAATGATGATGATGATAACGATAGTAATGGTAATCGTAATAATGATAACAATAACAATGTGATAACGAACACGACAAAGGAAAATGAAAATAAAACTTATTAGATAACAGATTAACAAACAACAAAAAAGACGAGGAATAAAAAGTAAAGACACAATCCAAAGAAAGCCAGGAGTAACCCGAAGCAAAAACAAAGACAAAAAACACAAACATGGGTTCTTTGCCCTCTTGTTTGAACTTGTTTCCCATACAATTCCCGGCCGCGCCTTGACCCCGGGGTGAGTGCTGTATGGCGGGGAGGGGAGGGGGTGGGGGAGGGGGAAGGGGGAGAAGAGGGAGGGGCTGGAGGAGGAGGAGAAGGGGCGTGGAGGAAGGCGAAGGAAGAGAGGAAGAGGAGAGAAGGATAGGGTGAGGGGGAGAGAGGAGGGTGGAGAGGAGGGAAATGGGAAGAAGGGGGTGAGGAGAGGGGGTTGCAAGGGGAAGGAGGGAGAGGAGGGAAGGAGAAGAGAGGGAGGGCGGGAAGGGGAGAGGGAATAGAAAAAGAAGAGAGAGAGCAGAGGAGGATGGGAAAGGAAGAGAGAAGGATTGAGACGAGGGATGGGAGGGGAGGGAGTGTAAGGCGGGAATGACGGGGGATGAAAGGGAGGGAAGAAAGGGAAGGGAGAGGATGTGAAGGGAGTGACTTGTTTCTCCACTTGGTAACGGGAATGTGAGCCGAACCTGCTCGTTACGACGGTGCCCCCCCCCTCCCCCCAATTTGTTATTGGGCGTCGTATTGGGGGGAGGGGAGGGAAGGGGAAAGGGAGGGGGAGAGTACTATAGGGGAGGCTTGTTATTATTTTTTTGTCGTTGGTATTATTATGTATATCATTAGATCATTTTTTTTATTTACCATCTTTGTGAATCTTTATCACCATTGACGGGAATATATTTTTTGGTATTTGCATCTACTGTTTTTTATCATCATCCCGATTCTCTGTAAATAACACGTAAATGGAAGCTCTGTGCTATGCTTTGCCGTCAGCATTCTATCACTGTATCTGGGCTCATATTGTTCCCTGGGGTTGCATAAGGGCTTTGTATTTATTTCTCGCCGCTTTGTGCAGTATTACGCATTATGTGTATGTAGGACAGCGTGTAAATATGCGGTGTGGAACATTGGTAGTGTGTATATGAGTGTGCTTAAGTGAGGCGGTTGCTTAGATTCGCAACCCCGAGACTGCTGTGCTTGTCTGTGCGTTTGTGAAAAAGCAGTGCGCGGGCGCGCGGGCGAGCGGAGGAGGTGCTCGCAGGTAGTCACGCTCTCCTCCTCTCTCGCCGCTTCAAGGTTTTAGTAGGGGGCGCGGCGCCCGAGCGCGCGCACGGAATTGGACCTCTGTGTCGCGGGGAGTGTGAGTGTCACCGCCGTCACCGCCACTTCGCCCAGCGTCCTGCCGCCCACGCCCACGCCCTCCGTCTACACCATCTCCACGGCGAGCCCGCTTCAGGGAACGACGCCCGCGCCCGCACAGCTCCCCCAGGCTGACGTGTCCTCCCCTGCCTCGAGGGGCGTGTTCATCTTCCCGCCCGTAGAGGGCCCTTCGGCGGCGCCCCCCGCAGGCCCTGCCCGCCCGCGGCCTCAACCCCCTCCTCTATACTCCTCCCCCTCCCCTCCCCCCTCCCCCCCCCTGCTCGCCCTCGACGCCCCTCTTCACGCCCCTCCCCCCCGCCCTCCCTGCCGCCATGCCGGCCCCCAGCGACCAGCTCCCCGACTGCCCCCTCGAAGCCCGCACCACCAGCGCGGGCGGCGCGGCGAGGGGCGGGCGGCGCCGCGATCACGACGACCTGGACCGCCTGGGCGACTCGACGACCACGACGAGCAGCGAGGCCCACAGGAACGCTATCAACGCGGCCTGTAACAACAACAACAACGACAACAACAACAGACTGGAGCCGGGGGAGGTGAATGCCAACGAGCAGGGCTCGGACACAGGCGTGGGCGCGGACACGGGCGCGGACGCGGACACACTCGCCACGACTGAGGCAGGCGACGACAACAGAGCGCGCAGCACTAACAACAACAACAACAACAACAACGTAAGCAATAACAAGGCGAGCAGCTGCGACCGCCGCAGGAAGACGGGCATTGTGTTCCCAATCAAGACGGGCGTCGCTCAGCTCCCGGGCAGAGGTAACTGGCGCCGGCCGCTCCTGTACATGCCTCTGCCGCGTCCGCTCTGGCCTCCAGGGCGGACTCTGCCTTGGTAGCTTTTGGTTTTTACCCTTTGTCCTCTGTGTTTTCTTCCTTGCTCTCTTTCCGTCTGCTGCTCAATTTTCTCTCCTCTCCTCCCCTTTATTTCATTTTATTTCCTATTCTGCATTTTCTCCGCCTGCCGCTCTTCTTTTTCTGCTTCTCTCTCTCTCTCTTCCGCTCACCTCCCCTCTGCCCCTCCCTCACGCTCGCTGCGTCGCTTGCTCTTTCTGCCGCCTCTCGCGCCCGCGGCCGTCTCTCCCGCAGGTGCGTCGACGGCGGCGCATCGGCGACCTGGTGTCTCATGTCTCCCGCGTCCCCGCCTTGTGTTCGCTTCTGTTGACTGGCAATGCCAGTGCGTCCGCTTAATGATGAATGCGGGTGACTGATTTTTCCCTGTGCGGCGGCCTTGTACACCCTTCCAGTAATTAACACGGATACTTGACTTCCAGTACGTCCTCCAGATAATTAGTTCGGACGATCGGCTTTTCTCAGTACGTCCGCCTCAGGATTGATTCGGAGAGCTGAATTTTTCCAGCGCGTCCGCCTAATGCTGGCTTCGGATAACTTGACGTCCCCAGCGCGTCCACACCGCGGTTATTTCGGGTGATCCTCTGACGTCCGCCCCTTGCAAGCGGAGCCCCGACGCCCTCCTCCGTCGCGGGTCTTCCTGCGTCATCGCCGGGCGCCTCATCTTCGCTAATCGGGGGCTGGACTCCTCTCGTCGTCGCGGTTCCCCCGTGATTATGGGCGTCCTCTCCTCCTCCCCTCCGTCCCTCCGTCCCTTCGCCTCTTCTCCTCCTCTCCTCCTCCCTCTCCTCTCCTCCCCTTCTCTTCCCTCTTCTCTTCTTTGACTGTCCCTCTCTCTTTCGATCTCTTCCTTACTCTGCCTCTTTTGTCGTTTTCCTTATCTTGGTCATTTTGTATCTGTCGCTACTCCTCCCTTCTCCTTTCCCTTCCTACGTCCTTCCCTCTCCCCACCTCCGTCTCTTCCCCTTCCCCTCCCCTTCCCATCCTCTCCCTCTCCTCCTTCCTCTCCCCTTCTCCCGCTCCCTCTGCTTCCCCCTTCTCCCACCCCTCCCACCTTCCATCCTCCCTCTCCCCTTCCCCATATCCTCCCTCCTCCCTTTTCCCCCTCCCCTCCCCTCCCTCCCCGTCCTCTCCGCCATGTTCAATTGGCCGCCTCTCCTGCAGGTGCTTCGTAATGCCTTGTTCCCTTTCTGGATGTCATGGGGTCGATTATCTGGCGGGCGGTGTGTGCCTGTCACGCGTGTGTGTGGGCGCTGCCTCTTGTCTCCTCCTTCCTTTCTTCCCTCCTTTTCCCCTTCCTTTCGGCTTCTTTTTCCATTCATTTCAGCTTCCTTTCTTCCCTCCTTTCGGCCTCCTTCGTTCCCTTCCTTTCGGCTTCTTTTTCCCTTCCTTTCGGCTTCTTTTTCCCTTCCTTTCGGCTTCCTTTCTTCCCCTCCTTTCGCCTCTTTTTTCCTTCATTTCAGCTTCCTTTCTTCCCTCCTTTAGGCCTTTTTTTTCTCCTCCTTTCGGCTTCCTTTCTCCCCTCCTTTCATCCTTTCGGGGATCGCTTATCGTCCTTTGTGCTGCCTGCTTGTCCGTCTTTTCTTCCGCTTTCGCTTCTCCGTCGCTGGCGGTCGGCTTCCTCGCTGGCGTGTCTCGACTTTTTTCGCCCGTGCTGCTTCGCCTCTCCTGTTCCTTCTCCCTTTCCTTCTCCATCTTCCAAACCCATCTTCGTTTTCTTCTCCTCCTCCTCCTCCTGCTCCTACTCCTACTCCTTCCCCTTCCTCCTACATTTTCCTCCTCCTACACCTTTCTCCTTCTCCTCCTCCTTCCCCCCTCCCATCGTCCTCCCCTCCCCCTCCTCCTCCTCCTCCCCCTCCTCCTCCTCCTCCTCCTCCTCCTCCTCCTCCTCTCTTGAAAATATACCCTCCCCTCAATTCGTATTTCTCCAGCGACATTACCCCGTTGGCGCGTGTCGCCTCGGGTCGCGGCCACGGGTAGTCCTTGGCTCTGCGGATCGAGCTTCGGGTGGCGCTCGGCGGCGGGTGGAAGAGGAAGGTCGCGAGGAGGAGTGGAAGTGGAGGTGGAGTGGGTGGAGGTGAGGTGTAGTTGTGTTGTGTATATATAAGTATTCGTATATGCATAAATATATACATTTTTTTTAAGTTGTGAGATATTTTCTGTTGTAAAAAGTAGTTTTTTTTTCCTTCTTCTCTCTCGTAGAAAGGATTGAGTGGATGGGGGGGGGGGCGATTTGCGAAGGCGTTGCAAGCGCGCGCGCGAGCTACGTCCCCTCCTCCGCACTGCACCTTTATTTTGGGATTCCCGGAAGCTGTGCAAGGGGGGGGGTGGGGAGGGGAAGGGGGTACTGGGCTGTTTATATGGACACTTTTCTATGCGAAGCGGTGACCTTTACCCCCACTCCGCCCCCCCCCCCACTCACTTCTTCCACCCTATCTCACTCTCTCCGCCCTCTTTTCGTCTTTTCTTTTACTGTTGTTACTGTTACTGTTATTTTGTGTTGTATTATTGTTATTATTATTATTGTTATCATTATTAATCATTATTATTGTTATCATTATTGTTATTATTATTATTGTTATCATTATTGTTATTATTATTATTGTTATCATTATTGTTATTATTATTATTGTTATCATTATTGTTATTATTATTGTCATTATTATTATGATTATTATTGATATTATTATTTTTATCCTCTTTCCTCTTGTCTTACTCCTTCCTTCGTTTCTTCCCTTCCTCCCTTCCTACCTTCCTACCAACCTTAATCACTTCCTCCTCCTCCTCTCCCTCTTTCCTCTCCCCCTCTGCCTCTCCCCCTTCTTCCCCCCCTAAGCCGTATAGTTGAAGACGATCTTGGTCTTTAAAGAGAAGGTGAAGAAGGTCAGAGAAAGAGAGAAAGACAGAGAAAGAAAATTTTCCTGGTCGGCAGTTCACTTTTGCATGTCTTTGGTGCAGGTTGGAGGAGGAGAGGAGGGAGGGAGGGGGAGGAGGGAAGAAGGGGGGAGGGAGGGAGAGAAGGACGGAGAGAGAGAAGGAGCAGGGGGGGGGAGGGAAAGCGAAGGCTAAGGAGAGGAGGAGGAGAAGGAGAAGGAGGAAAATAACAGAAAAATGGAGAGAAAGAATAGAAAGCGAGAGTAAGAGACAGGAATCATGCAGGCTTTAACAGTGAGAGTGGAAGGAAGGGAAAGAGAGGGAGAGAGGATGAGATAAAGGGTAAGGAGAAAGAGACAGAGAGAGGGATGGAGGGAGAGCACAAAGAAAAGGGGAAGGAGGGACAAAGAGCGGAGGAGAGACAAACAGGCATTGAATAGGCAGCGAAAGATACACACGCAGAGAAATGTGCACCCGTGTCTGTTCTCCCTTTTCGCTTTGTGTTTGTCCCCTCGGTCTAAGAAGCCCCGGATGTCGGCGCCGCACTCGGCACCGGCCGTCCGAACAGCCCTTCCTCTGAACAAACCTCATTGTGCACATCGGGCGGGCGGCGTGAACAAAACGCCCTTTGTGCTCATGGGGGGGGGGGGGGCTGCACTCGGGCTTCTCATTTCTCCTGGCTTCTGGGCGGCTGGAGGGAAGGGGGGGGCTGTTGGGCGTTTGGGAGCGGGCGCGGGTGCTGGCGGTTTGGGTTTTATTTTTTATTGGTGTTTTATGTTTGTTGGTTTGCAGTTTTTTGCATGTTGTTGGGTATTTTTCGTTTGGCTTGATAGTGCTGTTGTTTTAATTACTTATAATTGTGTTATTATTATTTTTATTGTTTTTACTACTATTACTATTATTATTATTATTGTTATTGTTATTGTTATTGTTATTATTATTATTATTATTATTATTATTATTATTATTTTTATTATTATTATTATTATTATTATTATTATTATTATTATTATTATTATTATTATTATTATTGCTACTACTACTACTACTATTATATTATTATTATTATTATTATTATATTATTATTATTAGTAGTATAGTAGTAGTAGTAGTAGTAGTAGTAGTAGTAGTAGTAGTAGTAGTAGTATTACTACTATTATTGTTGTTGTTATTGTTGTTCCCACTATTACTATTTTATTATTGTGGCGATAGTAATAAAGTGATGATCAAGATATATGTGTAAAGTGGCGGGGGTCGCTTTCACCTTCAACTCGTCTCTTTTCAACATGATTGCTAACTTTCACTCAAAATAGACAAAAGCGCACAAGCACACGCACACGAACGCACATACACACACAAATTGAGAGAAAGAGAGAAAGAAAGAAAGAAAGAGAAAGAGAGAGAGATTGAGTTGGTGTGAGAGTGAGAGCGAGTGTGTGAGTAAGAGCGGCTGTGGAAGTGAGTGAGTGAGTAAGAGCGGGTGTGTGAGTGAGTAAGTGAAAGTGAGTGAGTGAGTGAGTGAGTGAGAGCGAGTGTGTGTCGCTCCCTCGTAGCGAGAACGAGCGAGGCGAGCGAAGGGCAGAGAGCGACAAAGAACGCCTGCCTTCGTTTGTTTGTGTTTGTTTGCCTGCGCGTCGTGGGCGGAGGCAGCGGGCGGGGAGCCTACGCAAGGGCATGTACACCTTGAGCGATGGGCGGAAGTTGGGGTCACGAGCGGCGGGAAGGTAGCGGGACCCCAGTGGCCGTTCCCACGTATCCCCTCCCCCTGTCCCCGCCCCCTCCCACCCCTTTCCTCGGGCCCTGGGTGTTTAACCCGCCCACGCCACCCACGGAAGGCCCATGCTTTGACGCCCGCGGTGGGTTCGGGTGTCGTGTCGGTTTTTTGAGGTGGATTTGCCCGTTTTGGGGCTGGGTTATTTTTTTATAATTTTTCTCTTTTTTCCCTTTTTCTTTTTTCTTGCTCTCTCTCTCTCTCTCTCTCTCTCTCTCTCTCTCTCTCTCTCTCTCTCTCTCTCTCTCCTCTCTCTCTCTCTCTC